CTGATGGGTTATTCACCCTTGGTGCAAAACGCTATTTGGCTTGCTCGGGAAGAAATAAGTATAGTCAAATTCGAATCCCTTGCAGAGCACTGCAAATTGCTCGGCAGCTCTTTATCAACTGAATTCCATGTGACCCGCTACAGCTCATGGGAATTCATCGAAAGTATCGATATAGTCATTATGAGAAAGAATGCTGACACCATACGGAATGCTGTGATGTATGGGATCATACTTGACACTGTCATAGACTCGGACGAATGGTGAGTTGTAGTATGTCATATACTTGGCTCACCTCTATTAGTCAGGTTGGCAGTGCTCGCACACTGCATAGACAGTGAAGGCGGGTGCCAAGTCGTCTTATGGGACTTGATCACCATAGGCGATGGCAAGGGGGCGACTATCGCGGAGGCAATCAGGAATCTTCATACTCGCGATAACATCGATATATCTCGTTGTTACTGCTGGACGTCAGATGGGGCCTCTGCCATGGTTCTCGCAGCCCAACTGACAGAGAGCTTGCCCGAAGGCGGTTGGATAGTCTGCCATTGCATGGCTCACCGCTTAGACTTGGCGGTCAGTTCTGATACTTGGAAAAAGTCAAATATATGTCAACGCATTGAACGAACCCTTCGAATTGCATACAACATATTCAATAGATCAGGTCAGCGTCGAAAAGAGTTGAAAGATTGGAAGGGGAATTTGGGCGCCTGGTAATACCAGCAGCACTCCAAGATGTCAGGTAGGAAGCCTTGGTCCCATGGTGGTTCAGCTTTCGGATCTCAGATGGCTTTCAAAGCTGCAGTGTTTGGATGTATTCTATTCCTCGAAGGATGCCATAGCTGCTTTCATTTCTAATCAGGGGCGACAATTTCGAGACGACACAGACTATGATTTCCTCATGGAAACCATTGATGAGCACTCGGAAGATATGTTGATGCTTCTCCGTTTGCTTCGTCCTTGCGGTCTCCTAACTAAACGTCTCCAGGAGCGATCGCTGGACTTATGGGGGGCGCAAGGTCTGCTTGAATCGACAACGATTCATCTGAAGAATATCCAAAACCTTTCGACTGATCTCGCATCTCTCCGTGATGCACTTGTTGATCATTTGATGGATCGCTTCCCTATTGATGAGCCTTCATGGATGTCTTTGTTGGATATGTCTCATGAATATCCTGACGGCGTCGTACAGGCGAGGTTTTCTCAGATCTTGACGAAGCTCAAGGTTGATGATCCAGACCTGAAGGCTGTGGATTTTGCCAGAGATTATCAACTTGTCCGCAATGAGTATTCCAGGCTGAAAGCTGCTGGTGCTGTGATCCCCGATATACACAATATTAAGCCTGCCGGCCTCTCTGCTTTATGGGCATTCTACGATAATGTGTGTCGAGTGGTGTCACCAACATCTGCCGATGCAGAGCGAGTTTTTAGTGCCCTTTCTCGGCATCGATCTCGCTTTCGGCGCCGACTTCATATCCATCTACCAGCATTAGTCAGAATAAGTATGTCAAAGACTATCGGTGCTAGCAGTCAACCGAGTGACGAAGCCTTCATACGGGAGGTGCTCCGAACTTGGAATGGGTCAAAACAGCGTCGTCGTCGCGCCAAGCGACCGGAACCAGTGTCCAAGAAACCTCGTAAAGAGATCCGATCGG